TATGAATTACATTAAAAATTTAACTATTACTGAGAAAAATATTTTACAAATTCCTAAATGCAGTTGTGATGCAAGGCAATATTTCATAATTTTTGAAATTTGAATAATAATAGTGACCCGAAATAAAATAACCACACCATGTTTCTAGATTCCCACAATTGCCGCCATATAAAATAATCCCGGACAGGACCATAACGAAATCGGAATTAATCTAAATTTATGTGACTTATTTAGATAAGAGGGCATCGCGGGATTTTTCGGAGCGTTTGAATATTTCCACGGGCCATTTCCTGCATCAATAAAATACGGGGATCGGACATGAAATGGACGTGTAGGCAAGGAAGGCAAGTGCAGCGACATTTTTTTATTGATCATAATTCAACGGCATCGATAACAACGCTCATCGTAAAGTCAACTCGTACAAGAGCTTAGCCGTAAAGGCATAAATTTAATATCTTAAATATATAAGGCGTATTAAAAGTAAATATGCTACGATATGACTGCGTTATTGAATTCGGAATGGCTAAATAGCCCTTACGACAAAACTGTTTATGTGGCGAAATATTTATGGTCCAGGAACAGGATTTAATTCTTCAGGCGTTCGATAAGCGTAAGCGTGTTTGGACTGCAGAAATCTCCACAGAAAAATTTTAATGCTTATAGTCAGTGTTTGTTAATTACTTTCATTTAAGTGTAACCGTACAGTAACTTTTTATTGAAGAAAATTAATGAAAATATTAAATCTTAAAACATACCGCTCAGTTGTCCTTCAAGGAATTTAACATGAATAGTCGTAAATGCTATAAAATGTAGTTAAAAATTTCTCCTAAAATACAGGATGTCCCATTAATATTGCGAAAAAATTCAGGGGGAGTTTCCTTGACCAAAAATAAGAAAGAAAGTTCCTATAAACCTATGTCCGAAAATGCTTCGTTTCCGACATAGATATTAGTAAAAACCTAGTATTTTCTGTAAATTTCAACACCCTGTATCGGCGAAACGAAGCATTTTCGGACATAGGTTTATAGGAACTTTCTTTCTTATTTTTGTCAAGGAAACTCCTCCTGTTTTTTCGCAATATTAATGGGACACCCTGTATATCGCTTATAATGATATGCGTTTGTTAAATTCTTTATCCGCGACTAGTAAAATAAAAAGTGGTCCTATTGAGGCATATTGTAAATAGCGTAGATAATCGCGTGCACATATATGCAGATAAGATCTCCACATCATTAGCTAGATTGCGACGTTGGGTAATAATATTTTTAGAAGGCAAATAAAACTCTTATATGTCTCTGTGGGACAGGACCGAACTGAAAAATCGGTGATCCTCATTTTATATTCAAGTAATTTACATTCACATTAGATTTATTGAAAAATGCAACAATAAATGAAACAGAAAACAGAAATCTCGCTTGTTTGTTAAACCGGTTTAAACGTTTTGACTATATTTGATTTCTTCATCAGTACCTGCTTCAGAAAACGACTAATTAACTTTTTTTATTTTGCTTTTATATCAACCATGGACATTTTCGAAACATGGACATTTTTTGGCTCTATTACATCAATACTTTTTCAGAAAAATATGTGAAATACTATTTTTACTTTCACAATATCTGACAATCAGAATATACAGTACATTTTGTTATTTTTTTTTTAGAGAAAGGATGCATTATTCATTGTGCCAGCTAGAAAAATCGATACCCGCTCAAGGCGTTACCTAATTTTCGGTATAGGATCGCATTACATCTCGTAACTTAGATTAAATAGCTGTCAAGATTCACCGTCACCTCTTCATTAAATTAACGAACTTATGATACCTTCGAAAAAATATAAAGAACCCAATAATTTCCTAACAATCGGCTCATTGTTGCCGTACAAGGCTTACACATGTCAAGTAATGCTAGACGTGTGTTGGCTTATTATCTACGCCTCGTTATTACGGAGATCGATATGACCGGAGATCTACTTTCTCTATATTGGAGCTTGTCTCGGGATGACAGTGATCATCAATTTGCTATTGTGTTAAAATAGGCACAGACAAGTGAGGCATAATTAAGTGACGCGGTAATCACGACTTAATATTGTTGCCATTATTTATCATTATCTTCGAGTTTTGCCCTGTCTCGCTGGCCGATTGAGCGACGAATTGGGGGACCTAACAGTTCGTGTGGTCAAATTTTGTCCATATAGATCTAGATTTACCTCAATCTGTTAGTGAAACTTGGTTTTCGTACTAACTTTGGTTTGGTTTTACCAAGAAACGCGGGATATTCAATAGATGCATTTTTTTGACAATCTGGTAAATACACCCTGTATTTCTCGTTTATACTAAGGAGGATTTTGCTCTTGGAAAAATAGTGAGAGTAATTGTCAAAAAATATTAAAACAACTTTCTTAATTTTGTTTCGGGATAACATGCTACACAACATTTTTAACTGATTAAAAATAATTAAAATAATCAAAATGACTATTAGATCTATTAGAAGAGGTGCTCTTGAATATTAGAAGAGTGCTATGGTTTATGCGTGTTGGTGCACCACCACATTACGCTCTAATAGTGCGGCAGTGCCTTAGCTCAATTTGCTTGGCGGTAGATTGGACGTGGGCAAGATGCAGGTGTAGCCTGCTAGGTCACCGGATCTAAATCATTTAGATTTTTATTTTGGGCGAATTATGGAAGCAATTCCTCGACATGCAATTTTATGCATAGAAGAAAAGTGGTGGCAATTTCAACTTTTACCATAACAGTATTTATGGTTGCGAGTACGGTCCTGCAATATGTTTTCCCATATAAATCCATAATCAGTACATATGTGAGCGCTTGGGTATAAGTCATGATGATGCGACCAAATTATATCTTACCTTACTTTCTAACCCAGATTGAATGGCTGTTATAACGATGCCATAATTCTTATGAGAGAGCTGATGAATGTTAAAGCTAGAAAACAATTCTTTAACAATGGGCTTCTTATAAGAAAATAAACGTTATTTTTATTTTTGACGTTCGTGGGACACGATTAGTCGTTAGAAAATATATATAGTCACTGTTGTGATCTTCATTTCTAAATTAAAAAGTCCGTTGATGGTTGCTTCGAGCCTATAATGGAACATGGTTTCCCCAAGAAATAACAAAGCGTTTTTTGCTAATTATTTTACGTACAAAAATGGTTTATTTTTTGAATTTAAATACGTCACATGTTGGCCGAATTTCTATCCATCTGAAGAGCTACGGTTGTTATAATCATGTCAGGATACATTTGGAAGAAAAGTTGGTAGTATGTTTTACAAATTTAAGACAAAACGGTATGTTTTCAAGTACTTAAAATCATCAATATGTGTTCTTTATACAAATACCAAGCTTATATAAACACATTTTGTAGTAAAAATTATTAATTATTATAGTTAATTACAACCTTTAGGATTTGAAACCGCACATTTTCTAAGCATGTTGTGGTCAATCAACATATTTATAAAAGTTGTTGTATGCATATGAATTTTTTCCAGTATATTCCGATGAAATTCATTGAATTTTTAAGTAAATATGAGTATTGCAATATGATAGAAGTAGTATAAAATTAGTAAAGACATGAATATATATTTCTTACCATCTCCGTATTTCCTGGATACAATTAAGAAGTAAATGTCAAATAAAACCATAAGAACCAAGTAACAATTTAATTGCAAACCATTTATATCTTTTAGATATCGACTTTTTGCCAATATTTCTGTATTTTTATAGGTTTTTAGCCGATACTAATGAGAAAACGATGCTCAAAACTAATCGATATCGCGACATGGGATGACCTGCCATAAAAATTTAATTTGTAAACAAAAAATGAAACTGTTAGTGTCTACTTGAATGTGTAGATAGATATCATAATTAATACACAAATTATACGGAAATATGAGCAATAATTAGCTTGATGAACAACTTTATTAAATAAGTCGAGTCTAATTTGTTAATAAATTAACAGCTGTGATTTTTATATATAGCTATTTAACCAAAACCATCCTCTTAGTTGAATATACTAGTATTGGTAGAGCATAGAAATTTTACCGCCAAATATTGAATAAGTTGAAAGAAATATAATGGAATGTAACTGGAAATTATTTGTGATTATTCTATATACTACTGGAAGTTTTTTTACCATCCTTGCGCCTCTTTCAAATTATATTGTTTCTCTAGAACAAATATAATTTAATAAAGTGTTACCTATCAGAAGAGTATCAAAGGAATGTTAAAAATATTGGATCGAATACAGTTTCCCATACATTTCTACATACGTATCTAGTAAATTATCCTGCTGACACAATAAATATCTTCATTATAATCAGCGATTTCTTAATAAGTTATGCGCATATTGGAAAAGGTATTTCTTTCCAGTAATTAAAAAGCTTCTGTCAAAGGTCAGCCGTTCTTCTGAAAATGTTTACATATTTTTTTAAGGTGTGTAACGATCGACGTTGTCATCTACCTTATAGATCCACCTACTACCTCAATGTTGGACTAGTTACATCGGAAATCATTTGCGCGTGGATTTTTGTAAACAAGGCATACAAATAATAAGACATGATTCTATAAGTTCTGCATTTTTTAAATATTCGTTAAAAAGAAATGGCTATAGAAATCCGTAAATATTGCTGAATCCGCTTTAAACAAAAAAAAACACATTAATGTTTTTATAGTTGTTTTTTCAAACTACCACTAAGAAACTAAACTTAGGTCGCCTAATACACAGTATGTCCACAAACAAATGGGTCGTACCTTAAGGGTAGTTTTCTTGGATGAAAATAAACCAATTCATTCACATCAAGTTACCTTTGTACAACTCCTAAAAAAACAAGGATTCAAAAACAAATTTGTTTCAAAGCTGCATAGGACCTATAGTCCGCAGAGTAGTCGTTTTAATTTTATACTTACACCAATTTATGCATTTCTGTTGTACTATTTTTTTTTTATCTCTGTTACAAGCTTCTAACTTCAACCCTTGTTCCAGTCCTTCTTCGGCCGCACCTACAACAACATCAGCTCCATCTCCGAGTGCAAGAACAACGGTGAGTGCGTCATCAACAAGAAGAACCGTACGGCCTGCAAAGCGTGCCGCCTCCGAAAATGCCTCCTGGTGGGCATGTCCAAGAGCGGTTCCCGCTACGGCCGTCGCTCGAACTGGTTCAAGATCCACTGCCTCCTCCAGGAACAGCAGCAGGCGGGCGCCAACATAGCGGCGGCGGCTAACCTCCTCCGTCCCCACCCCTACCTGACGCCGCTCTTCCGCAACCCCCCCACCACCATCCCCACGGCCGTTCGAGACGCGAGGTCGTCCGAATCCGACAGCGGAGCCTCCTCGGCCGATCCCGACGACGAGATGCGGTCGACGAGCGCGCTGAGCTACTTGAAAACAGCGTCGCCATCTAGCGAGCGCGACTACTACTCGAACAACTCGATAAAGAAGCTGCCGTCGCCCGCCAGTGACTCTGAGTATTTCTCGAGGCGGAAGTTGGTCAGTGCGTTGAACCACGCGCCTTCCGTGTCTCCCGCGTCTTTACCGTCCGTTTCGCCCGGTGGAGTAGTTCCTAAGTGGTTGCCGCCCCTGCAGGGCATCGGGGATCCTTCAGCGTGGAGGGAGCTGTGGTTGAGGGCGCCCCCTCCTGTGGCGGCTCCTGCTCCCGACCAGGACCAGCCGATCGATCTCTCGGTTAAGCCGCAGAGTGAAAGAACGCCCCCTAGGAGGGACTCCGATAGTGACCACGAACTTAGTATAGACGTGGGGGTTGACGAACCTGTGAAATCAGTGCCTTTAGATTTGACTTTGGACAGGCAGGTAGCCGACGTTACTAACTGATGCCGTCCGCCGAAATGTGATTTGTAGATCTTTATTTTTCTATGAATTGTTGAAGCTGAAGTGTTCCTTAAAGCTCTGGGGGATTTTGTAACGACAAAGTCACCGTCACAAGCGAGCAGAAGTCAGATTGTAGTTGTCTATTTATAAGATCTTGAAAATATCTAATCGCTCATTTCTTTCAATGTAATGCAGATACGTTTTTTGTAGCATTCAACAGTTTCTTTTAAGGAAATTCACTTGGTTTGAAGGTGCTCAGTCGTTACAGAAATCCCTCAGGTGTCAAGCCTTGGATGATGACAAAAAAATTAAATAACAAAATAAAGCATATACAAATATGTACTAAAACAAGAATAAAATATATTTTATTATGTCGTGTCATAATAAATTGCGATTTAACAAAAATATTCCAGTACCCGTGAGAACAAAGTGCCATCTTTTATACAAATATAAAATTTAACCTTTACAAAACCTATTTTGTTATTTAATGATGTCTTAAATTTAGTCACTCAAGCCAGAGGTGTTATTATTGATGAGTCTGATGCTCACTGGACAGAGGGAATATCTATTTTCTTCCAACAGTTAAAATTTCCTTCTTTCTAGTGAATTTTAAACTTATACATTCCTATGACGATTTAACGTAACTATCTAGTTGGCCAGTTTATACATTTAAGGAATCCATAAAATATTTATTTTTAAATATTTCCTTTGTTATGTTTTTAATTTTTTTTATTGGTTCTCAGAACGAAAATTTAATATTTTTTTTTCAATTTTTATCCTACCAATGGATTGGTTTTAACTGTTTTTAATCTCAGATACATTTGTGTGAAAAACTGAGAATTTTTATATAAAACTGAGGCAATTTTTATGAAGAAAATGATGAAATGTAGTGATAATAACCGTCCTTATACCTACTTGGAAAATATTTTTATAGAATTTTTTACGAACCTACATGTACTGAACAGACCAAAATTTCGGTTCTCTTGGATCAGGACACAAGAACTAGAACTACAGTAGGCACAGAGGGATATTAAAAAAATCCCAAAATTTTGGGTAATTTTCAGAGTTGTAACTTGGAGGAAAATGGTCGTAGAGAGAATAAAAGAAAAATTAATGCTTCAAGTGTCTAGTTTTCTAATTTGGAGTTTAAAATTTAATAGCATTAGCAGTTTTTGAGTAGGTAATCATAAGAAAATTTGTAAAGCTTGTGGATATGTTAAAAAAAAATAAAAAAAATAATTTTTCAAAATTAAAAAAAATTTTTTTTAGGATCTTGAACGTTTTTTGATAAGAAAATATGGATTATTGGTAAAAAAAACATTTTTAACTTAAAAAAATTAATAAAAAGTGAAAGTTTACTTATTACATTGATTTTTATTAAAAACGATAAATTTAAATATTCCGGGCACTAAGAAAAAAAAATCGCAGCCTTTTCAAATTATCAGGGTTTCTTGGACACTTTGAGATTGAAAACTTACAGTCAATATCTTTATTATTTTCAGTATTATTCAGTATTTGCAGTTATGTCAAGTTATTCAATTATCCCTAATTATGCAATTTCTTACCTTTTTTCTAACCAACATATTCACTTCGAAAAAATTTTTTTAGTCAAAATCCAATAATTATGACTTGTAGAGAGTACTTTGCCGTTTTCAAAACTCGGCTTGGATTTACGACCATTATTTCCACAGTAATTGATTGCCAAAGTCAAAAATTATTTTTTTGCCACAAGTCACCGTAAAAGGCTAGGAAATCGTTCAAATTGAAGAAAATTAAACTATTTAAAAAAGCTTTATGGTGAAATTAGCAAATAAAAGTCCATAGGCCCTTTTTTTCAGTTGATTTTCTTATGATTACTCAAAAACTGCTTACGCTAAAAAATTTTAAACTCCAATTCAGAAAACTAGACACTTGAAGCTTCAATTTCCTTTTTTTTTATTCTCTCTACGACCATTTTCCTCCAAGTTACAGCTCTTTGAATATCACCCAAAATTTTTTTAATATCCCTTAATTTCTGTACATAGTATATGTTGAATTGGGGAAGAAGGTATACTTTGAGAAAAATGTTTAATTAAAATGAAACTCGCATCTCATCAAATTTATACATATATTTATTATAAGTATATACGTAAATATACCGAAAAACATAAATATATTACAAATAATAAAATAATATTATTACACAGGGTGTTAAGGAAATAACTTTCAATACTTTTGACCAAATTAAGGTTGTTAGAATTAAAAATATTTCCTGTATCGAGCTCCTCATTGAAACAACACAGAAAATTATAATTACTTTGTAAAAACGTATTAGATTTTCAGACACTGTTTTTTGTTATTTCATGAATTGATTTTAATTTCGTATAAGCTTGTCCTCAAAAGTTTTCATAACGCTTTGACAACAAATTTACAATAGTTTTTCTTTCTTTGCCAAAATGGTGTAGAATGGTTAAATTTGTTATACGTATTTCTCTAACATGTTCCTGTACAGGGTAATCTAGAAAATGATATTTACAATTTACCTAAACACTGAATAATTCTTAGTATAATATTGACCTTGCACAAAAACTTTGAAAGTTGTCACTTAAATATTTTTCTCGATGTAGCCAAAAAATGATCCGTACATGTCCTGAATCTTCTGCGCCGAAGAAAAAATTACCCGCCATTCGATACCGTTCGATTGTGTCATTGATTAAATCAATATCTGCTCACGTGATGCGATGTTTGGGACCTACATTCGATTAGTACCTGATAGTCACTGTTACAACATCGGTTTTTATTAGTAGAAAGTTGCAGTGCATCTTGAATATCAACTGTCGGACCTCCAATTCAAATATTTACAGTTTACGTTTGACGTTGCTGCATCAAAGTTCGAATCGTTTAAATTCACTGTTTGTTAACATTTTTATAGCTTTAAGACATGGCTGTTCGTCATTTTCTATTCAAGGTGTGTTAACTGTTGAGAACAATCCTATTTATTGATTTTGTATGTTGTATTTATCTATGTTAAAGGTCAGTTATTATGGGATAGAGACGCATAGCATATATTCATGTACATTTTTTTTTATTTATATTATATGTAATGTATAAATGCCAGATTATTTTATGAAAAAAATATAGTAAGTAACTGTATCGGCCAGTAAAGACGTGCCTTATGTTATATATTTTTTATATTTTGCTTTTAATAAAAATGTTTTGTTTTAATCGCAGTTTCATTTGCCATTAAAAAAAAATAATTAATAAACATCAACAACTGACAAGGCTGTTCTGTCCATTAAAATTATTGAAAAATTCGTAACAGAATCGAAAAATTGTAATATTTCTCGAAATAAAAAAATTGCAGGGCCGCAAATATACCTGAAAAATATATAGCGAGAATGCTAGATGCCATCGTCACAGTGATCTAGAACATTACAAAAGAATTCATATCGTTATTTATTTAAAATTCTGCTTAATTCAAGTCTTCCTGCTATGTATCAAGTTACACAGGAATAACTGCGAAGCCTAAATCTATGATAAGAGATGCGCTAGCGGAGATTGTGTAATGCCTGCTCACAAATGCTTAATTTAATTAATAAGGATAACCTTGAACCGAAGGAGCTTCATGGGGTTTCTCCTATGTCCCGTTGTAAACTCCATATAAGCTTATCTCGTTTAAAATCTCGAACGGCTTCTCCCATTCACAAAAATGTTAATATAATTTTTATAATTTATGAATGAGCATGCCTTAACGGTACAATTAGGAATAAATGTTGCTAATTTCTTGTCAGATGCCACTGACGTTTTTTGTTTCACAATTGAGGAGATACCGGAAAATTTATGGTTTTGGTACGACTGTATATTCCAATGTACACATTGAATGTTAATCCTTCTTCACCATATGTGAGGATCTTATTGTTTTTGTTAGAATATAATAAATATTTAATGCCCCATCTTAACATGTAGTTTTTGCGAAATGATTTTCGAGACAAGCATTGCGGTAAACAAATTATAACTTTAAAAACTTTTTTTGTACCAGTGGTAAGATTTAAAGCATGTTTATTCAAAATCAAAGAACATATTGTTTCATTAAATTTTTAATTTTGCTATTTTGAGCCCTATTGTAATATTTAACTGGTTGGGCTTGATTTTATAATTTTATAATAAGTTAAAAATTCGTTTAAGATTATTTCATAACGATAATTATTTAACTAATTCGCTTTTAAAACCAGTTATTATGTTTTAATGAAACTAGATAATTGAGGTCATATTCTAACTAATTTCCTCGACATATGACCTGGCAAATTCCCAATTCCTATTTTCTGGAAACTCTTGACGATGGAAAGATTTTACTGGAATATTTTTAATAGACGAACGTTTTGCTCTCCGTTGGAGACGATCCCCATCCGCATTTTTTCCCTGTCGCAGGTGTGGTGTCGGATGGGCCCAGATCGCGTGAGCGCAGATATGTAGTTGATATAGAGGACAAGCTTGTACGAGTAGTGTGGGCGAGTGACAACTGTAGCGCTCAGCTCGTGAGCCACCCAGGACGATGGAGTCACGCAACGCCGACCGCGACACTTGCAGAGGAAGTTGAAGATGCCTCGGATCCTATCCGAGTGCCTCGCTGATTTACATAGTTAGGGGTTCCTGCGTTGAGCAGATATGCTGAGCATCGATTACAATTCTACAGGTGGTTCTAGTTCGTTTGATAGGTTAGTCAAGTCGTACGTTTGAAGAAATGATACGCTTTTCGCAACGAAATCGGTTTATTAAAATCAAATAACCNATTTGGGGGATGGCACCCCCACTTAGGGGGTTGAAGATTTTGCTATGCTTTTTGCGCCAAAAGTTGTCCCCCTCAGAAGCAAACTTTACCTGTTTTTGGATTTTGCCGAAAAGTTTATTACTACCCTGTAATGCCTTGCGGTACGTTTTCGATGGGCTACCCTGTATATAGTTAATATTATAGTACAATCGTGTCGTCTTTACATTGATTCAATGGATCCATTCTTTATATTTGT